CACATAAAGGATTGCATTAGGAAGTGGTGGGTTTGGAAAGCTGTCAGTTTTGAAGAAAACCTAGAGAAACCTAAATCAGCAAATGAATCATAATCATTGGCCTTAGGAGCTAAGTAAAGGAAGATTCCATGAGCAAATGTATTTTTCCAGTGGAACACACTTTTCTTATCTGCTTGCCTGGGAAGGGAGGGGAGTGCAGGTGGACAGGGTTCAGAAGGAATTCTAACCATTATTAAGTGGCCAATATATATTTTAAAAAAAGGAATAGGGTCCCCCAAACAAATTAGCATTATGCATGACCACTTTTTCAAACATGGGGTCTGGAATAATTTTGGAACATTTTAGCATTATTGAAGACTGGTTTACTCATCAACATCCAACATTACAAGGAACACATGCTCCTTGGCTTAGGTCCAGGCCAAGGTGGTTCAGGTCAAGCATTTATGATCTCATTGGCTCCACTCTCTGTTTCTGCCCCAGAAATCTAAGCAGAACTTCGTTTACTCCGCAGAACTCTCTCCATCTCCTTGGGATCGGCCACCTTGAGCTCTATGGGGTCAGTGCATCCATTCGCCTTGATCCGTTTGTCGAAGGGTTCACTGCAAATGCTGCCGAACAACGGCAGCGCCGCGGTGTACCTCCGTGCGGTGTGCGTGAGTCTGTGTCGGCATTTCGGTGTTCAGGTCGGGTGGTGGCGTTCATGGGGTTTAGTTTGGGGGACATAGAAGGATGCTCCAGCATGATCTCCAGGGGGAAGGACCTAAGATTGTCCCAAGTCTTGTGCTTCATCTAGAATCTAGAGGGATGACAGGGATGACTGGCTGTATCACCCCCCATACTGCCCATGCAAATTGAGTTTGGGGAAGACGGCACATTCTTCGACCTAAGTAACAGGCGGTACGAGTGGATCCAGCAGCTTCAGCTCAACCTCTCTCTTTGTCGCTCTCTCGCTCTCTCTCTCTCTCTCTCACTCTCTCTCTCTCTCTCTCTCGCTCCCTCTCCCTCTCCCTCTCTTTCCATGTATATAAAACATTATAAAACATACACACTCTGACACTTGTATTCAGTGACTCAGTTACCACGATGGGAAGGATGGCGGTGGAACAGCAAGGCGAGAAGTCCAAGAAATTGTAGGTGTTTGAACAAAGGTTGTTTCCCTTGACTGCGGAAAGCGCACAGCGGCAAAGCAGCTGAAAATCGGCGGCCGAAAACCTGTTTGTGGGGAAAGTATCATGAAAGAACCATGAATCAAACCGTGGAAAAGTAGGGTGACAGCTTGTGGAAAACTTCGCAGGTACATGGTTGAGCGTCCTCAACCACTTCCCTTCCAGCGACCCAGCTTCGTTGGATCAGGTTAGTCGCTGGAAGCCTGATCCCCCTGCATGTGACTCACGGGTGGAAAAGGTGAACGGTGGATCAGTTGGACGAAACCCTTTGTCCAGGGGTGGACACACACAAATCGCCGGCTTCGGCGCTTTTTCAAAGAACGGTGGCACAGACACGGTGCCGC